GTGGAGATTTGAGCATGCAAGGTGCTCGGGTCGGCTACGCCGTGTAGACTTGAGCATGCAAGGCGTTCGAGTCGGCTACAACGTGGAGATTTGAGCATGCAAGGTGCTCGGGTCGGCTACGCCGTGTAGACTTGAGCATGCAAGGCGTTCGAGTCGGCTACAACGTGGAGATTTGAGCATGCAAGGTGCTCGGGTCGGCTACGCCGTGTAGACTTGAGCATGCAAGGCGTTCGAGTCGGCTACAACGTGGAGATTTGAGCATGCAAGGTGCTCGGGTCGGCTACGCCGTGTAGACTTGAGCATGCAAGGCGTTCGAGTCGGCTACAACGTGGAGATTTGAGCATGCAAGGTGCTGGTGTTTTTATTTATTTTTAAGAGACTCAGAGCAAATAAAATATATTATGAGTACACCATTCCATGCATGCAATATATAATATGAAAACTAGAGTATAATAACTAGTCCCTGGGGAGTTTGGTCGGTGACTTTGCTTCGGGTGCTCAAAAGGATCAAAATATATTAAAGATTATATGTGGATATGTTTTTTAATACAAGCACTACAGGGTACTATCAAGCTGGGAGTTTGAATTTGCAAACTAGAAACTTTGGAGGTTTCTCACATACAATACTAAAGTGTCATGGAAGTTTGATCTTCAGACCAATGATTTGGACTAAATCCCCGTTAGCCATGTGTGGATATAAATATGAGATCTTAGAGATTAAATATTAAACTCAATACTATTTTATTTTAAATACCAAAAATGATTGGTGTTTTAAATTGGATGCCAGTTGTAGAGTCATACAAGGAACTAATATAAATTGTATTAAACCTCAATATTATCACATCACATTTAACTAGGGGTGGGCACAGTCCGGTTCGGGCCGTTTTTTACTTCAAATTGGAATTGAAACTGGTACTATTTATCTGGTTTGGTTTGGTCCAATTTTAATAAAAAAATTTATAAAACTGTCCAGTTCGGGTTGAATCGATTTCGGTCTGATTCCGATCCAATTTGGTTTTGAACCGGATTATTATTATTTTTTAATTATTTTTTTAATACAAATTTCAACCGAAATTTTATTTTTTTGGCTTGAAAATTAACAAATTATCCAATTTCATACAAAAAGAAATATTGGGGCTAGAAAAGAAAGTTGTTTTGAAATTTAACTTGGGTAAATATTAGTTATGAGATTAAAAATATAGCATTAGATATAAATAAATAAAATTATATATTTTTTAATTTGGCCGGGCTGGCTCAACCCGGTTTGGTTTGTTAGGGTATAGAATTGGAACGGGAATTGGTTAGAACAGGATTGGTTCAATTTTTTGAATTGAATTTGACTTTTTGGTCAACACGATTTTTTTCGATTTTTTTCAATTCGGTTTGATTCAATTGATCGGTTCTTCGATTCCGATAGCCCTACATGTAACTCTCTCTTTCAATAACATAATTCAGTTGGTACACCTCCTCATATTTGAAGTTTGCCATGTGTCCATCCCACAAATTTATATATAGATTATGACTGCAATGCAATATCATCTGAATCTATATACCCCAAAATTGTGATTACAATTGTAAATTTTCTTTATTTGTATATACCCTAAGAGTGTGACTGTGACTACAACTGTATGCTTTATGAACCTCCAAAACCTCCCAAGTTTTGCAATTTTGACATGTGCATGAGTTCGCTCTTTTGGTGTTTGTGAATTTGTGACATAAGGCTGCAGTGATTGGAGCTAGAGCGGTGCAACTGGAATGTTGGGCTGTAAGGCCACCACCGTCTCTTGTGGGTGTTTTGATTTCCGACTGCCTTTCCTGTCCTCTTGTGGAGGTCTCTGCTCAGTAATTTGCTTAGATTCCTTTGGGTGTATGCTTTATTCTAGGCTCTCTTTTTTATCCTAGTTTGCTTGCATCTTGTTTGTTTTTCTGTCTTGTAGTTTTGCTGGCGGTTTTTGCGCCTTTTATTGAAGTATTTTCAGAACAAAATAAAAATAAAAATAAAAATAAAAGTCTCCTTGCTTGAATTTCATGTACATGTAGGCATGCACCACTAGGCCACAACAAGCTACACCTACTATGTCAAATTTCTGGATGGTTTGGCAACAATCTCATTATGCACATGGATTTTTATTTTTATTTTTATCAAAAAGAAACTTCATTAGATAAATTTCAATGGTACAATCGAAGACATCAACAAGACATCTAAAGTAACAATCTCAAGAGGTCAACAAACTAACATGCTAAAAGCAAAACTAACACAGATAAAAACCGCACTAAAACTACTAGCCCACATCACCACAATTAATCATAAGTCCAAACAAAACCTATAAATCCAACATAACCAAAACCCTAAAACAACCTATGAGCCTAAACGAACCCTACCACCACCACCTGAAGAAACAACATCGCGGCTACACCCACCACCGCATCCATAACAGATCTGAAGAAAATATGATTACTAGCGATCTACCTGCGCATTATGCACATGAATTTGAAAGTCTCTTATCTATCCCCATTCTTATTTATTAATTGTACTTTCTTTTTTGGCTTTCTATCACAAATAATTCACTTACTCTTCTGAATTTGATTTGAGACATAAAAAGTCTCCTTCCCTAGTATAAGCTCGAAATTTATCTAAGTGGACCACAAGGCAACTATGTCAATCGTTGAACGGTTTGACAACACTCACAATGTGCACATGATTTGCATGTCTCTTATAAAATAAAGGGTGTTGTTTGTTGGCCAAGAATTTGTAGTCCAAATGATTGAGATATTTGGTCAATATTATGTTCGATTTACTCTCTCACAATATCGATTTTATGAAATAACTTAAAAATAAAGGGAGTTGTCAATATTGACACTCTAAAGAAAAATCATTATGCATTGCTTGAAGTTCAATTCCTTTGTTTAATAAGGAAGGAGCGCATGATTTTTTATATATATATTTAGAGTGTCAATAAAAACTAAATTTGAGTCTATCACGTTAGCAACTTTGATTTGAGATATCTAGAATACTTATTATCAAAAATGAAAAGGCGAGAGATTAGCTAGACAAATGAATAAATGAAAGGACTTGTAGTTAATCCGGTGTGCCCCAACAACAAGGACCACTTGCCTAAATAACTAAACAGGAAGACGAGACGAGTTCTAGGTTTGACTTTTAATTCAATAACTGAACAAAACACGAAATTCTAGACCCATTTCCCAAAAAACAGAACATGAAGTTCAAAATGAAAAGAAATCCTCAATCACCGTGTTTGTTAAACAATTTGGACTTCGGCTTTCATTGAATCATTGAGAAAGAACTGGTAAAGCAAAAAAGTGTTTGGCATTAGAAAGTTTCTTTTCATAGGGGTTTTTTTGTGTGCCAACTTTAGAGTTCAAACATGTGAAATTGGACTGTTTTTTTTTTTTTCTATTCAACTAGTTGAATTGGCTCGGATGAATTTAATGAATAAGTGGGTCTCTCTTCTTAATTTTGGAGTGCATAATTGGGCTTAACATAATTTTTATATATTTTTTTTTATAATGCATACTATATAGATTTATATAAATTGGAGGCCCTAAACGGCCGCCTTACTTGCTTGTGCTTAGAGCACTTCCAGCGGCATGCCTAGCCCAGACAAAAGGCACCCTGGGCTCCCAAAACTCATTCCAACGATGAGATCCACCCTTGGTAAGAGGTGGGCTCCACTAAGCCCGAGCCTAAAGTCAAGCTGACCTCATGACGTCAGTGATCAATTTAAATACAAAAAAATTGAAAGAAAAGGAAAAAATTCCAAAAAATTTAGAATTTTTTTTTTCCTATAAGTGCCTAGTCATGTTCTTCACTTTCCACACAAAAACTCCATACAAATTCCTTTCCTCATCTCTCATGTAAATAGTGGTTGTCCTTAGGTTACCATGGCAATGAGTGGGAATGCATCAAAAAATTGCTATGGCAGACACTATTCACATGAACAATAAATGCCCTTACCTTTTACCATGACAAATGAGCGAAAGTGCTCTTAGGGCGTCCCTTACTCATCTTTCTTTCATCCTTTATGTTATATATTTTCCTTCTATCTTCAACTAAAGGAATCAAAACCAAAAACTAAAAACAAAATGATGATCACCAAACGGGCCTCTGAGTTTAGGTATGAACTTGTAACCTTTAAAAGATAATGGCCAATTTAACATTGACTTCATAGCTTGGGAAGTTTTATGTAGTTGATCTATAAATAAATAAAAATTATTATTTTAAAAATAAATAAATAAAAGTGAATCATTTCTTGAGTCCCTCCGTAACTTATCAATTATTGTATAAAATTTGGAAACGGATTTAGTGACTGAGATTATTGATTTTCACATATTTGGATGGTTCCATTTGAACCCAAACAATCACCATAGAAGTTTTTTTTTTTTTTTTTTTTTTTTTTTTCTTGAGAAATTCTGGAATTGAATTCATAGTTCAGCCAAAAAAGACACTAACCACAAAGGGCCAATACAAACTAGCTACAAAGGACCATTACAATAACAGAACGGTCTAACATTAAATTTAAGACACTCTGGTGCTCCTCCGCTAACAATCATGTAGGATCGAAGAAACTCTGACATAAGCATCCCATCTAAGATTGTAAACTCAGAATTTATAATTAAAAAAAAAAAAATAAAAAAAAAAAGATAAAGCTTGAAAAATCAAAGCCATAACAATACAAATAAAACTCTTACAAAGGAGAAATAAAAAGTTCTCACAAAGGAGAGGTGAAAAGCTCTCTCAAAGAAAATGTGAAAAGCTATCACAAAAGGAGGGGTGAAAACTACACAAAGAACCCAAAGAGTTTTTGCAACTTATTCCAAACATAAAGAAACTGCAAAAAGAAGAGGGGCGAGGGGACCCTCAAAGTGAATACAGCTCTAGGAGTGTTTCTTGGGAGAGAGGGGGCTAGTACCCTAGAACAGTTTAATCCTTCTGAATGAGACTGTAACCAAGGAATGAACATCTATAGCAGCAAAAGATAAAAGAAAGAAAAAAAATTGCAGGATAATTTAGTTCTTGCTACAATTCTCTTAGAAGCCAACATCAACATCTCATAAGTGAGAACAAACATCAAAGTTGCGCATATATGTTTACAACACTTTTTTTCTGTATGTTAATTTTAAAGAGTTTTCCACATCATTCTACATCATCATCCTCTTTCTCATTCTCATGTCTAGCATTACCATTGACACCAGAAACTAGCTCAGCTTCAAATGCTTTGGAACTTGAAGGCAACCTCTCATACATTTTGGATCCCAATGGAAGAAGCCTACATTCCCCCACAGTAAGAGTTTGGCTGAGTTTCTCATAACTCCACCTCTGCTGAGCATAGACTACACCTGCAAGGATAATTGCTGTAACAGGTATGGCAACATCCCCAAACTTGGAGTAAAAATCCGTAGTTGGGTTGACAAGCTCGTAGTCCTCGGCAAAGTAAGGATTGAGCACAGGAGCTCTCACATAATCATAAATGTGAGGGAAAAGTCTGACCAGTGTGTTCGCGAAGAAATAAAACTTTCTAAGTGGTTTACAATCAATCTGCCACACAAGGTTGCCAATGATTTGTGGGAGAAGGAAAAAATCTTGAATAAGACCAACATACTCCTCTAGCTCAGTTTCCCATTCCCACATTGCATGAGAATTTGCTCTAGCGATTCTGTAACTTTTTGTCCGAATAGATCTTCTGCTGGTGTTCATACTATGAATGACAAGAACAATTATATAGCCAATAAAATGTATTGTCAAGGTAGTCAGAAGCACCCGCTTATCACTAGGGACACGATGTGGCTCAAGAGGAGTTTGTGTTAGTAATCTGATTCGGGATTTCCAAACCTTCTGACAAAGCCTTAAAGTCAGTAATAATGAGACCATCACAATAAACTTTACCGTGTAATCAATTATATGGAACCACTGACTGTTGTCAAGGTCATATGAAGATGTTTCATAGGATTCAGAAGATATCTTCTTGAAAAGCGCTTCAGCACCTGTGACCAGAGGAATGCTATACCCAATGGCTTGGATACCTAGCATGACTAGAGACATGTAAGGCACGGAATCAACATTATGTCTGATGTAAAACAGTTGGCTTAGAATGCCAGATATTGCCAGGGAAAGAGTCAATATCCTGAGAATTCCCTCAATACCCCGACGAGAGAGAATGTCTTCCCGTTGTTTCCTGTACATAATCGGAAGAGTTTTGAGCTTGACTGTACTAAAGTAAAGGGGGTCATCTTCATTCCTTCGGCTGGCTATTGAGATACTTGCAGCTGGATTGACTAACCATCTAGATGTAGTTGGAGGATAGGACACAACCACCTCAATTAAACAATCAAGCCCAGCCTCAAGATCCATGCTCTCATACAAGATCTTCCACGAGGCTCGAACATCCCTGCAACCAACTAGATACATCTTTCCAACATGTGGGTCATACAGACCCTCCAAGAAAAGCACAGAGAAATTGCTAAAAGCTTTCCCAGAGATGGTAAGTTGTGCTGATACATTCAGAAGGAGCTGCTTTTCAGTGTATTCAGCCTTCGTGTGGTAAGGAGTCTCCTCTTCTGCAGTGGAACCATTTTGTGGAGACCAAAAGCGCCCAAACAAGGGGCCAACAGAGAGAATCTCCATCTGAATATCTGTTCTAGGAGGCTGAGCATTTCGCATTGGATCAGGAACTGCAGACACATGAAGGGTTAGATCTTCTGAGAGAAGAGAAAGACTGACTTGAAAAGCTTCTGTGTCTTCCAGTTTGGGAAAATTCAGCAATGATTTCTTGATGACAGTTCCAACACTAAAGGCCTCATTTTTTTCCAAGACAACAGCAGCTGAATCAATTTTTGTGTACCTGTAGTATGGATGGGAGGTTCTTAAATAATTCCACAACTCTGTAGGCTGCACTAGCTTTTCAAACGAGAGAGGAAAGAATGATGCACCGCTCTTATTGGTGCTGGATAAACTTCCATAAATAATGCTTCGTTGCTTTATGGAAAAAGAGACAGGTATGTACAAACAGATCCGACTATTGCATCGACTCCCTTCCACATCAACAAGTCCAAGGCAACCAGCCATGCAAAGCTGCCCACTGGTAGATTTCCATATTCCCTCAGCAGCAACAGTCATGTTGTTAAGCCCAGATCTCTTTGCTGCGGTATACTGATTCTCTAGTGGAGAAGCAGCTCTAAACACAGCTGAAACCCTTGCTGAACTGGCATTTCCCTGGTCATTTTTTTGTTCACACTTGATATTCTGCATAAAAAGTTTAACACCTCTAAAGCTTCCATCTGATGCCTTAATGTCTTCATCTGCCACAAACGGACCCAGCTTACTGCAAAAATCATCAGTGGCATTGCATCTCCAGTTTGGCAAAACAGTGAAAGCTTGGTCCCTTGCAATTTCTTCAAGGATTTCACAAATAGAAGGACCTTTATAGATGCTAACGCCACCATAGATCAAGCTATCATTGTAAGGGTATGGATCACATGCTCTTGACACTATCTTTTCAGATCCAAAATCGTAAGCTGCAGACTTTCCCAACTGCGATGAAATGTGAACCACATCAAAATACTTTGAGTTTGACTTTGAATTTAAACTTCTTAATTCTCCTTGGATAGACCTATTTGTCAACGTGAAAGTCATTGGATAGTGAAGAACAAGTAGAATTTGATCATCTTGAGAAAGAGGAGGATCAGACTCCCGAGAAGCCTTCAACCACTCCCAAGGGTTAGCAGAATCAGAGTCCCGAGAAGGCAACATTGTACTCCCCAACAAACACATTACTCTTTCCCCACCATTTTTCTTTGATTCAGTGTAAATCCCTTGGAAGGAAATTGGGATTTGAGAATGGCCAGGCCATATCTGGAATTCAGAATTTCCTTGGTACCCATAATCTGCAAAGCCACCATCTTTAGTAATGCCCAAAATCATGAACCCACTAACACTTACAGACTTCTTGGATCGATGGGCACGATCAACATCCGTAACCCAAAACGATACCAAGTTCGATGTAGTATGATTACCCCACGACTCTGTTGGGACTTCTCTATCATCAAATGGTATGATTGGGGCATTACCCACCTCCTGCCTCCAGTCCCCATTAACAAAAAGTAGCTCCTCTTTTATGCTATACGCCTTATTATTTTCAGCTTTCAGTTCAGAAGCAGAAGAAAGAACAATTCCACATTGTTTCTTCACTTCATCTATTCGATCATAGTTATAGGTAACAGGGGTTTCACTTCTTCCACTCATAAAATCAAATTGTGGTTCTACATGGTATGGATATGTGAACCCCAAACTCAACAAGCCATACACACTCCAAACCACAACAACCAAAGATGCAATCTTCATGATCTCAAAAGTTTTAAATTTTATTCAGCTGCCCAAAAACTGAACTAAAGAAAATTTCAAGACCCAAATGTTCAATCTCAAAATCCTACACAGTACTCACCCCACAAGACAGAGACTTTAGTTACCACATTTCATCCACAGAGGTCAATGAACAAAATTGGAACACAAAACAATTTTCTTGAAAGGGTCAATCTCAAGCCTATACTTTCCTGGGTAATGTTTATAGTCTACCAAACATTTGAAGTAAGGAAGACAAACCTGAATCTATCCCCTCTTGCATGGATAATGGATTATTGTGAAGGTGAACCCCACTTTCTGAAACTTGGATCTTGGGCTTCAGCGAGAGAGAGAGAGAGATAGAGAGAGAGGAGCTTAAGCTGGACTTGATTGGATCTTGGGTAGGAAAGAGAGAAGAGGAAGAGTGAATCTGAAGTTGAGCTGTTTCTGGTGTTTTCTGAAGCTTTTGGTGATTTTTTTCCCACCGCTCTACAAGTGCGTGTAAGACGACTTCGAAGATATTTCTTTTCTAGAAATAACGGTCAACTCCCAAAACAAGCCACTCCAAACTTTCTCAATATTGTTCTAAATTCGTATATAAAAAAATATTGTTCTAAATTTGTAAGAAATTCCATTTATTTTCTTAATAGGGTAACTACCACTCCAAACTTTCTCAATAATAAATAATAAAAAATCCAACCTTAGTTGGATTGACTCAGGCCCTTTGGTGTGCTCCTACGCACTGACAGACCCAAATTCTTTTTAGTAGATGTGCAATTTTAAAAGGCTAAAAGCTTTACTAAACAAAAATTGACAACCAAATATCCTTATAATTTAAACAATACCAATGGCATTCATTAGTTATAGAGAAAAATAGCATTACAAATAATCTACAATTGTTGTCGATGAGATTTCATATCATGAAAATATCGCATTATATTTTCATTACTAATACAAACAAAAAGGCCTAGAGACTAAAGCTATTTTTTAAAAGCCTTTTATCATTTATTAAGCAAACCCTAGAATGCTTATTAAAGCCCACGAAACACAATCCAGCTTTCCCCCTTCCTTATTTTTTTGGCCATGATGTTTTTTTTTAAAATATTTGGCATGTTGCGCACAACAACGCAGAACAGAAAGACAAACTTGGTTTAGGCAATTCGTTGAACACCTAGAGTGCACCACCAAATGAGCAATATGCAACACCTCTGAAGGCTTTTCTAGTAAGGGGAGGTGTAGCTGCACCTCCTTGTGCCTTAATAGGTCCACCCTAAGGGATTCTAGTTTAAGTCTTCATAGTACCCGTGTGTGAATTCCAGCCCTCCTCTCTTTCTTAACTTTGACAAAAAATGTCAATGGGGTCTAGTCTAGTGAAAAAGGGTTTTGACCTACAAATAAGATTTGAACCACCATGGCATCTTTGTTGTATGTGTGTGAGAAACCCTTCTTCCCTCTAATTTAGATTATCACTTATACTTAAAAAAACAAAAACACTTTGGCAAAAAATAAATCGGAATGCACATTATTGTATTGCATTTTTAAAAGTGATGAAAATTCATCAAGAAAACAAAAATGAAGCATCTGTGGGTCAAACGGACTCTTGGGTCGCGTGGATTGTTAGGTGACAAAACGGCCAAATTGGATTAGAAGGAAAGCAAAAATCACCATCCCTTGGATTTATTCATTTTGTCTTTGTTTTGTGCCCTTGTACTTGTTTTCCTTTTTTGTTGCTAAATTTATGTTTTGTTGGAAAGTACACCATGTTTTCTTGAGGTTTTTATTTTTATAATTCTAGACACTTTTAGAAACTCTTTCTAATTGTTTTTGTGCTTTCAAGGAAAAAGCCTTCTTTTTTTTGCCCTTCAAATGTGGATCATGAACACATAAGTCCGAATAAACAAGTTAAGATTTATAACCAATTTCAATTTAGAACCTGAACATTTTCAATTAATAACTAATAGTTTAATTACATTCAAAACTCCCAAAGCCTTTAGATACAAAAACCAAAAGAAGTGAGGCTATATAGGAGCATGCATTGCATATAAAAATTTAGAAACTCATCTTCAGCACATTCAGTTCTTCATTTCTTGGTACTCTGCCTCAGGAGCTTGGTCTCCACCAACCTGTGAACCTCCAGATGAAGAGTCACCTCCTGAACCACGTGACATATGCTCCCCAATCTTTGAGACAGCTTTGTTTGCTGCATCAAGCTTTGACTTAATTTCATCGGCATTGTCCCCTCCGGTTGCCTTTCTTATATCAGCAACTGCATCCTCAATTTCTTTAGCAATTTCGCTGGGAACCTTGTCCCGATACTCGCTTAAGCTCTTTTCAATGCTGTAGATGGTGGTGTCTGCGTTGTTTTTTATATCAACCAGAGCTTTCCTTTCCTGATCCCTTTGAGCATGCAGCTCGGCGTCTTTGACCATCCTCTGAATTTCCTCCTCCGTAGACCCAGCAGACGAGCGTATGGTAACATGTTGCTCCTTACCAGTGCCCTTGTCCCTGGCAGAAACGGTGACAATACCATTAGCATCAATATCAAATGTAACTTCAATCTGAGACATGCCCCTTGGTGCTGGAGGGATGCCTTGAAGCTCAAACTCTCCAAGGAGCTTGTTGTCAGAAGCCATTTCGCGCTCCCCTTGTAGCACCTTGATACCAACCTGGGTTTGGTTGTCAGCTGCTGTGGAAAACACCTGCAAAATCCACGACAAAAAGGTAAGATGCAAACAGTTGAGAAACATGTGCCGTTATGGTATAAAATTTAACAAGACCATACATCAAGTAATCAATGTAAATCTTTTTCAACATTTCTTGAGGACTGACCTGACTCTTCTTTGTTGGAATTGTAGTGTTTCTCGTAATCAGCCTGGAGAAGATACCGCCCAATGTTTCAATACCTAGTGATAGAGGAGTAACATCCAGAAGAAGCAACTCCTTAACATCACCGCGAAGAATACCACCTTGGATGGCAGCTCCCAAGGCAACGGCCTCGTCAGGATTGACTCCTTTGCTTGGGCTCTTTCCAAATATTTCTGCAACCACCTCTTGCACTTTGGGAACACGACTCATCCCTCCCACAAGAAGGACCTCATCCACATCCTTAATAGACATGTTAGCATCCTTCAAGCAATTCTTACATGGGAACTTTGTCCTCTCAATCAGGTGATTTACCAAACTTTCGAATTTTGATCTGGTCAGTGTGATGTTCAGATGCTTAGCACCTGAAGCATCAGCTGTGATGAAGGGCAGGTTTATCTCAGTTTCAGATGAAGATGAAAGCTCAATCTTAGCTTTCTCTGCTGCCTCCCGAAGCCTCTGCAAGGCAAGCCTATCTTTTGTAAGATCAAGCCCATCAGTTCTCTTGAATTCGCTCACTAAGAAGTCCAGCAAAGCATTGTCAAAATCCTCTCCTCCCAAGAATGTGTCTCCATTTGTTGCTTTCACCTACATAAGAGAGAGTTCTTAATGAAATATTCCAAAATAAAGGAAAAGCAATAGGACATAACTGAATGTGCAAACGATGCATACCTCAAAAACACCATTAGAGATCTCCAATATGGACACATCAAATGTTCCGCCACCAAGATCGAATACAGCGATTAGGCCTTCCTTGTTGTTCATACCATAGGAAAGTGCAGCAGCAGTGGGCTCATTTATGATTCTCTCTACACTTAGGCCTGCAATTCTTCCAGCATCCTTTGTTGCTTGTCTCTGGGCATCATTGAAATAAGCTGGAACTGTGATCACAGCTCTCGAGACAGTCTTTCCAAGGTAAGCCTCCGCAGTTTCTTTCATCTTTGTCAGAACAAAAGCTCCAATTTGGCCTGGGGCATACTGCTGTCCATTGACTTCAACCCATGCATCTCCATTTGGAGCTTTGACTATCTTGTATGGAACCATCTTCATTTCCTTTTGTGTTTGGGCATCGTCAAAGTGTCTACCAATCAGACGCTTGGTTCCAGAAACCGTGTTCGTCGGGTTGGTGACAGCTTGACGTTTTGCTGGAGTACCAACAAGTAGTTCTCCTTTCTGGTTTAGGGCAACTACTGATGGAGTGGTCCGAGCTCCTTCAGAGTTCTCTATAACTTTGGGATTCTGTGATAATTGATCATTTCACCATTTGTTAGACAGAAAACTAACACACAAGAAGCTTAAATCATGATTTCTGTCAGAACATGTCAATAGCTTTACCTTTCCCTCCATCACAGCAACACATGAGTTTGTTGTGCCCAAGTCAATCCCAATTATATCATTCCCAGCAGGTCTAGAGCTGTTTAAAGCAGAACATGTTATCAATAAACAAGACAAAACAGAATCCAAAAGTTTTTATAGAAATTTTTTTTTTGTTGATATAATTAACTAAATTGACTATGCAAATCCAAATTACCTGAAAGGTCTTGCCAAGCTTGCCCATTTGTGACCCAAAGGCTTGGCAGTGCTAGTCAACTTTTGCACAAAAGAACAAACAAACAACAAAACAGCTAAGTTTCATTGCTTTGCTGAAGCTCAAAATACAATAAATATACCATCCCATGTCTTTTTCTTCATAACTAAAAGCTCATCCATGTAATGTCGTATACATACATGTACGAAAAATTTACGATAATCAATGAATTATATTTGTCAAAATCAAAAGCCAAACCGCCATATTTGTCAAAATACAATTAGATTGAAGTGCATGAAATCAAAAGCCCACCTTGACCAAACTCATTTTATTTATCCAAGACTCTCAAGCTATGCAACAATAACGCCCCCAACACAAACTTATCGAAATTGACAACAAAACGAGACTAATCCACGTCCTAGGTATAAGTAATATCAGACAAACGTAACAATCAGAAAAAAAAATTAAAAAAAATAAAAAAATTAGATATCAGCATGTGATAGATAGATATAATACAAAGTGATATCCATCCAAAGTTGTTTACACTTAATCCATTTTTCTATTTGCTTGAAACACAAAAAACAAAAGACTCCCAGAACAAGCAGAGAATATAATAATAATAAAAACTATATATAAAAAAAGACAGATCGAACAGAGAAAAATGGAGTGTGGAGCTCATTAAGAATAAAAGGTTGTATGGAAGTTGAAGAGAATGTGACACTTACGGAACGGTAGGCAGAGAGGGAGGCTGAAGCTACGTCACGGCGTCGTAAGGAACGGAGCAAAGCAGCGGTGGCCATGGCTCTCTCTGCTTCGAACAACACAGACAGAGAACAGGGTATAGAGAGGGAGAGGAGGAGGACAAAGGGTTTTGATGAATGTGTAGGGTTTAAGGTTTTGTTGTCTATTTATGAGGTGAAGGGCTAGAAGCGCGACGGCCATGAGCCCTGTATGGTGTGGAGAACAAGAAAACTAGCATTCATACTTTATTAGATAACAAAAATATTTATTTACAATTTACCAAAAGAACAGATAATTAATTAAATATAAAGATTCCATTGAATGTTCTGACAAAGATCTGGTGAGCGTAGTAAGTTTCAGGTGTGTATAGCTTACGCTGGCGGGAGAGGATTCTTTTTAAATATTTTTTTTTAGGTCTTCATAGGTCGTTTTATACCCGGGCAAACTTGTCTTTAACATGTTTATTAAAAGGCGGATGGGAAATAGGCTTGTCCCTTTGCAATCAAGTTTCATCATTCTTACTATAGATTAGAATCTATGGCTTGTAGAGAGAGAGAGAGAGAGAGAGAGTTAGGGTTTAGGGCTTAGGGAGAGAGAGTCCCAGAATTGATACTGTAACAATAGGATACTGAGGCTATGAAACAGTCATAACCAACAGAAATATACAATACTATAAATGCTGCCAGATTCAGCATCGTGTCTGCACATCTTGAAATGGTATTTACATCCTATGATATCCCTATCCTGTGCTGACTTGAAAAAAAATAAATAAATAATAGATTCTACCTAAGCAATACTATAGATTCTACCCGGCCCCCTCTTCATCTCCTGATAGCCTACTATCTGATCTCCCTGCCCCTTCCTCAGTCCCTCCCACTCTTCCCGACAGCCCCCCGATCCCTCGTTGATCCGAGCGTATCAAACGACCTCCCTCTCGTTTTCAAGAGTATCAAGCTCATCACACCGTCTTGCTCACACCCGACGTCGTCTCTTCATCCACGTCTGGAACCAGGTACGACCCTCTTCATAAGCACATCTCTTACTCTCGCTTATCTAACAATTATCGAAATTTTGTATGTAATGTCTCTCGATTGGTAGAGCCCACTACTTATGATCAGGCCTGTTGTGATCCCAAATGGGTTGCTGCTATGCAATCTGAATTACAAGCTTTTGATGCCAATCACACCTGGTCTTTGGTCCCTCTTCCTCCTGGCCATCGCCCAATTGGCTGCAAGTGGATATTTCGGATTAAATACCACTCTGATGGCACCGTTGAACATTACAAGGCTCGCCTCGTTGCCAAAGGATTCAACCAACGCGAGGGTATTGATTTCCATGACACTTTTGCTCCTATTGCGAAATTAATCATTGTTCGTTGCTTGCTGTCCATTGCTGTTGTTCGTCACTGGTCTTTGCATCAAATGGATGTCCAGAACGCCTTTCTTCATGGCGATCTCCAAGAGGAGGTTTACATGTTACCCCCACCTGGTTCTCGTCAACAGGGGGAGCAGGTTGTGTGTTGACTTCACAAGTCCTTGTACGTGTTGAAATTGGCTCAAATATTATGTTGTTTACTATCTTTGTTGCGTTGCATGTCATCCACTTGGAGAAAGGAAGAGATTGGTTCTTTCCTTTCTCATGCATTTGCCGAAAGCTACCAAAGGAAGAGAAAAATGGGAAGCCACAATTGTTGAATGTTAGTGGCCAATGATATTGCATGGATTAATTATGTCTTTAGTGGGAGACAAAGCATGGTACAATGATGAAGGATTTTCTTCATTCTTTGGCTGACCATAACGTGGGTTTGGTATATGGACATTAATTATAAAGTGGGTTGGCAGGTGGTCATTAATTAAAGGTGGCTAGTTGGCTTTTGGAAAGTTTGAATGGCTACAAAAGAGAAGCAAGCAACGGGTGAGGTGTGTGGGCATTTGTGCCTCACCATTTGGGGTGCCGTGTGCAACATGTGAGAGAGAGAGA